TTGTGCTACAAATGATGTGTGAGAAACGACAACGTAGTCCAGGAATCACATCAAGCATCGACACAGCTGGAGCAGAAAGACTCAGATCATCACTGACACATCGTCGCTATGAAAAACACTGCGACATAATGATGCTTTATAGCATCAGTTATTTCCATATTATTGGGAAAGGGGATATAATGTAGTACAATAACATGAAACAATATGATATTGTAGAGGCTCTTTAAGGGAATGTACTAAATAATCTAAAGAGGCCAATAAACACAAGGTCTTGAATTAAATAGCTGCACAGGGTGGAAAATACTGCATCCAGATTTCCTTGTTTGGCTCAACTTAAACATGTGCCACAGATTGGTGTATAAAGCAGTATGATGTCCTCTGGTTCGTCTCTGGGTGTGGATGTCGTCTTTAAGCTCTTCCTCTTTTGCAGAAGGCAGCTTAACATTTGGCTCACACTCGTCTCAAATCTGTATGTTTGTCAGAGAGCCGACCAGCTCAGTCTGCACGTCTGAGTGCATCCGTGCTCAGAGAGACGGAGACGAAGCGGCACACAGTTACACGGGGATCTGAACGCTCAGGAACAGAGATGAATGCACAGGAGAGCGGCCGGAACATCGAGCCTCTTTTTAAGGCCTTTTAGCCTACAGATAGAAACACACACGGGCTTCTGAACACATGTGCAGGGATGAATTCACCAGAGTTCACTGCAGATCAAACTGCATGGAGCAACATAAACACACAAACACATGCTACAGTCAGCTGAACACTCACTATTTGATTATATTCTCAGTATGCCTGTTCTCTTATAGAAAGTCCTCTGAAGCAGAAACTGTTGCTGACACACAGTAGTCGTCCCAATTAAATCTCATGGACAGTACTGTTGTGTTGAATTTGATTTCAGTAATAAATAGCAGCCAGTCATTTGAACACAGTGTCCCTATAAAGACATGGCTGATCATATCCAGCAGCAGGTTATGGAGACATCACAAAACACTGGAGGGCTGCCGAGTTACACATGGACGCAGACAGGATGAGCCGAGGAATGGACGGCTAATTTGAGCCCAGATGTTCCCAACATCTGTCGCAACAAGGACACACATAAATACAGTGACAAAAGGTACATGCATGCACACACACACACACACATACAGAGGCTGATGGGAAGACGGGACATTGAGTAATGGTTTGAGCTCGTGCTGGTGCAGAACAGTCTGAACTCTCTCCACTCAGGCGTATCGACTTTTTCGCCCTCATCTCTCACAGATTCCCACTCAGATAACATCCTCCGACACATTTACCCGCCATCTGCAAGATACATTATCACTTTCACAGAATTCTGGAGTTTTTAGCACGTTATCAACACCGAACAAACCTCTTGAGAAACTCTATGAAGCAGCCTGCCGTAAAAAAAAAAAAAAATGGTTATTCAACAAGAGACACATGGGTTGATTTAGTTCATTTACTTTAAAGGGCGTGTCTGTCTTCTGTGACTGTTATGTTGTGTACATCTTTGTGTCTTTCTTTCTCCTCTTAAAGGCGTTAAATAAATCATCATTTCAGCTCTGAGCATTTTTAGCTGGTTATGAAAATGGACTGAATTCAATACTGATGCCAATATGAACTAAAAAGAATCATACCAGACCATAATGGAAAGACTGTTTTTCCTATAGTTATTTTAAATTTAAACCGCTGCAAAATACGGCTTCTTTTGTCGACAGAGCAAAGAGAGCGATATGTTTGACTTCAAAAGAAAGTAGTAATATGTTAAAGAACTCTACATAAGTATACAACCAAGTCCGTAAAGAGATAAAGGTAACGCTTTGTCCACAGGGGGCGCCAAAACTAACAACTACCCAAACTTGAATGTTCCTCACAGGAGCTCGGAGAAGGCTCTTGTTCATTTCCATTTCTTACTTTGATTTAAGTCTTCGCTGCTGTGTTACAAGAAGAATTTGATCCTATCTCTGAGCTCGAGTGCTGAGTGGATGATGACAGGCAGCATGAAACATGGACCCGCACGACAGCTGTTTACAGTGTGGACACGACAGGCTGACTCTGAGCTTGTACACACAACCAGCAGCTTCAGGATGGATGAGAGCCTCTGGGACTAAAGGAGGAGAAAAGTCACCACCTATACCTATTTTTCAACCGTGTCTACAAGGCCAGTGACTGTTTGTGAGCGTGGACACCCTGCTGTTTTAACAACGAGTCACCAGGCTGACCTGTGCTCTGCAAACACATCAACCCCGAGAGGATACGAGGCTTACTTTGTTGGCAAACTTTTAATGAATATCTTGTCAGAATGAAAAACGAGGGGGTTTATTTTTGCTTTCATTTGGAGGTCTCCAGAGACGGACATTGGACTCCAGACTTCACTGAAAAACACTTCCAAATAAAAACTTTCACTTCTTGCCAAAAATAATTCTCCTTTGTATCGTCTGCCTGCTTTCAAATGGCACTTTACAATGCACCTCACCCGGCGGAGGAACAACAGTACAAAGCTTTTTGGATGAACCGAGGCCATTTAAGTGTCCATCTGTTATTGTGTGGGCACAGCCAAGTCAGTGTGTGTGTGTTCACATATGCTTAGCTGGGTGCTTATAAAGATGGTTAGGATCCAGCTTTTGAGATGAGGTAATTTATAACATATCTATAAAAAAACAACCTTAAGCATTGTGTGTGTGTTTGAGAATGAAAACAACAGAATCAGACGTCCTCCTCTATCTGATCCTCGCTCAGCCCTCCTACAGAGCATGTGCGCTCGTTCTGATCAATAACAATTCCAAAGTCATCCTTCCTGTTTCACTCACTCTCCATTATCAATTACTCGTCTCTTTGGTGAAGACAGACGAGCGCTGGAGGATAAAAAAAAACTAAATGATCATTTATGATGTCAACATTTCATTTTTGCATGTCTGTGGTGAGCGCCCTGGAAAACGTTTGGACGACACAGTCACATTGTGGAACAGTGTGATGAACTGTATGTGACAAAAACAGAGAATTAGAGTCATAGAGTGCTGATGCCATGGCACGATGATGTCATACTATTTGGCGGTTCTTCTTCTCTGGGTTTAACTTTATATTCAGGACTGGCAGAATGTTTCCTTAAGTCAATTCGTTTTTGAGATGATTAAAAAGCGATTTACAAAACAGATTGTTAATCTATGAACCTCCTCTGACAAGGTGAAAGGGACAATGTACTTCAGGGACATCAAAAAGTGTTTGTTTTTTATATATACATTTTTTATTATAACATACAAGAATACATACATGAAATAAAATAAAATAAAAATCTGAAGAAAAGGTACGAAGAGAAAAAAGATAATTAAATTAATTAATAATATTAATAATAATAATAAAATAATACTAATAATAATACAATTAAAATAAAACCATAAATAGAATGGAGAAATTAATTTAGTTTAATTTACATACCTGTTATTATTCCACTTTATGTTTCCTTTATCCATTTACTCCAGTAAAACATGAATTCTTCTGTTTCTTAGCCTGTAAGTAATATCTTCCACTGTTAACTTCCATGCATCAGACAAAAGTGAATTGATCAAAACATTTCAAAGAGATCATCAACCCCTTTTTGATTTTTTAGATTTTAGTCATAAAGGTCAAACCCTCAGTGAACCAGTCCACACCGCATATCATCAAACACATTTGAGTGCAGGTGTCAGAGTCATGGGTCAAACATCATTTTGAATCCTTCATTTTTTATCTTTATTCTGCTGTGAATGGACTGACACACTTTAAAAAGAACTCCTGCAATTTTCCTCCATTAACACCTCTCCTCTCCCTCATCACATGAACAATAAAGACACTACACTGAGCTCGTACATGTTTGTGTTGTGTACTTGTGCTGTTTAAATTAAAAGACAAACTAAGAAAGTGTTAATCAGCCCTGTACTCGATGTGCTGAAGCAGAAACTCATCCTTTCTTTTTGTTTCCCCTCTCATACAGGTGTGTGTTGTACTGGACCTCTCCACATGTATCAGCAGCACAGCAGGTCTTGCACTCAGGATAACAGGATGTGAGGAGACTCCCCCTGGAAATACAATTTTCTTCAGTGCTAGAGTAGGATGGAAAGGTCAAAGGTGGGATACATCGCAGTCAGGCAGCTTTGGAATAAATCCTCTCTTTACAACCACATTCAAATCAGCGACTACCTCACTGTACTCACATGATGATCACATGATGCACACTTTCAGAGCTCATCATATGCATTAGAATGATTTATGAGTAAATATAAAGCTTGTTGTTTTTACCTCAGAGGGACACAAAATGTGTTCTTGATACTTACGAAGGTGCTGGAGAGGACTTATGGAAATCTAAGTGTGACTCAGTTCAGGGTGAAACAATAACTTGATCTCAGCTGATTGAAATGACACCTCAAACTCTAAAAGGTGGATCCAGTTCCAATAAAAGACACCTCTACGACCTGTAACCTGGCTCTCTGGAGCAGTACAGTCTTTATTCATACTCACTGTCTCGGGGCAGGTTTTTTTCCTTTTCTTACATGATATAGATTTATGTTTGTTGTGCTTTACTCATCAACTTTTCAGCATTATTCACACACACTAAACTTTCTGCTAAATGACTCTGTCTTTACAGAAGTTGTTGACGTCACACCAGGCCGCCATCGTCCTCTGCATCTTACTCCCCCTGAGGAGGGTGTTGTCAACTTGTGCCATTTTGTTATCACTGAAAAACAGTGTCAGCAAGTATCCCTATTTAACAGTTTGCATCTGTACACATGCTTGGTTTTTACAGATTACTACCCCTTCTTTGTTTCACTGCACGCAAGTACTTCACCTTTTCCTCCATCTTTGTTCAAGAAGAGCTCTTCTGTTGGCCTCTAAGTGCACCCCGGAAAAGCTCTCGCCACAATTATAGTAGTCTTGAAATGTCAGCTCCCCACTTTGTTAGCAGAAAAATAGTTTGTGTGTGTGTGTGTGTGTGTGCTGCAAATGAAATTCACAAATGCCAAAGCTGAATATCCCAAATACATTTATTCTGTAGATGTATTTAAACACATTCGGTTTCTTCCAGCAGGGAGACCATACAGAACCAATCAAAATGGACGTAAACATTTACATCAGAATTTACAAATCAAAGAACTTAAAACGAATCACAGCGTCATAAAAAAACAATCAGTAACTTAGGCTTCATGCTGCCATGCTCAAAGAGGCTCACTCGGGCTCGACTGATATGAAACTACACCCCCTCCCCCCATGCTGTGTCTCTTCATAGTCCTCAGTCCGGTCCTTCCATCCTGAGTGAAGGCTGAATTTGTGCATTTGGGTTCAAACTCTCAGTGATGGACATCAGCAGTTTGTGCAAGTCTTTTTTTATATTTCATTTAGAGCGGTGAGGAGGATTAACAAAGTGGTTTCAGACCAGATATAGTCTGAAAACGGGGATTGCACTTTTTTTTTTTTACAGATGAAAACTGCAATTTAACTGCAGTGCACAACATTGATTTATGAGATTAAGTTTGTTAACTTATTGTGTTAAATCAGCACTACTGATGTTTTCTTTCCCCAGAGACTATTCCTTCAGTATCAGGTCACTCAGACATGTCGAGTATTTCTGATGTTGAAGTTTGTCATTGTAAAGAGTTGTTGTAGTTGTTCTACCATTCAGACGGACTTTGGACTGAAAAAACTCAAACAAAGAGAGCGACAAGAAGCTTGATCCTCTCCTCGATGCTCTTCTCTCTCTCTCCACATGTAAATACACCTGTTGTCTTAATGTGGGAGGAAGAGCAGAGGTGTCTGGATAAAAGAAGTGTATTCATCCAGGCTGACCACGCCCTGAGCTGTGCTGCGGATTATAAAAAAAACATCCGAAACGAGGCTGGAGATGACGTCACAGCCAGGTCAGACTATTTCAGTGTTGATCTCCCCAAGTGCTGACAGATGGTAGAAAATATCAAAAACAAAGACATTCATAATAATAACCTCATTAAAAAAAAAGAACAAAAATAAAAAGAATTATGTGCGTTTAGATTAGGAAGTAAAAGAACACTTAAAGTCGATGTTAGGGGGGAATGTCTCGATATATTAAAGTGAAGGAAGTGATTCTGGTTTCGGACGATCTCAGGGGTCAAGCCAATAAAAAGTCTGATTTTAGAGAGAAAGGAAAAAAAAGAGCGGGGCAGAGTTCAGAAGAGAAAAGAGCGCGGCTGTGGACAGTAGATTTGAAAATCATCAAAATAACAATTTAACCCCTAATTCCCTTACATGTATGTCTGCTATAGAGATCACTCAGTTCATCCTACCTCCTCTCATCTCTCTCTCATCTATCAGCATCCTGAGATGTCTTTGGTTTTGTTGCGTCGTTGAAAGCGTGTGTCCGCCGGGTCAAAACCTTGCTCGCAGGCTCCAAAAAGAGCCCAGCTGGGAGTCTTAGCCATGTAGTCCAACGCAGAGAAGCTCTCCTGCCCTTCACTCTCCTCGTGGACCCGGACCAGCTCCTGGAAGCGCTCGTAGTCGATCCACGTCCACCACTCGCCGTCCACCTTGAACTGAAAGCACACATAAGGAGACAGCCGATATACAGTGTTCATGGATTTATATGTGGAAACCCTGCCGCCTCTTAAAGCCATTAACTGTTTTAAGACTTCTGTGACGATACCTGGAACACATTAAAAGGGAATTTTGTTATTAGTCAATTAAGCTCTAATTTCCACAGTGTGTGGAATATCGATCTGCACGACTGCCAGGACCAGACGTACCTTAATAATCTGGATCTATTGTACTCTTACCAGCCGACGTCTCGGCAGCGCTCCACTGCATTGCTTCAACTGCATACTTGATTAAACACGGCCGAACATCCGAGTCAGCCAAAAAACACTACCTCATTTATTCTCATCCATAACACCCCCCAGCAGCGACCTATTGGGACAACCATTTACAATGTTCAGAGCATCTTAGAAACGGATGTAATAGCTCGTACTTTTTACAGAACACTAAATACATCAAGTTAAACAGAGAGGGGAGGAAACAAGTGCACATGTTGTCATGGTATATTTGTAACCCAGACAGAGTAGAAACAATATCAGCAACATTCCTCTTTAGATAATCATTTAAAGTCCTTGTGAGGAGTTTTTAGATGCTTGTGAATCAGACTGAAATGAATACTGAAGCCTCTATATGAGCTGCTAAAGCACATGAGACCATCAGCATAAAGACTGTTTCTATAGAGTTATTCTGTAGTCTGTAAACGCTGCAGCCGTGTCGGTGTCAGACAAAGAGATTTACAGCACACAAAGGGATCAGGAAGCCTTTGTTGGCTTTTTCACTTTAAAAATTCTTCCTGAGTGATATATGTGACAAGAACGTTGTCAAGAAAGTGTTACAAGAAAGCAGGATGCGATGTTCAGTCAAAAACTCAACTTACACATTTACAGGACAAGATCAAAAAAAGGTACAGGTACAACTATTTCCACCAGGGGCGACAAACTCAACACAAATCAAACGTTCCCAACAGGAGCTCTAACTTTGAAAAAGGGCACTAAGAAAATTTGATCTCAAATATTTGAAACAGATCCACATGTTACCATGGTCATAAACGATGTTTTCAACCTGTGCACATTGTGGAGAAAAAACACAAACACACCCTTAAAGGCTTAAAGGTAACTTTCTCCAGATCCACTTTTTAAGATTTTGGTGTAAATTGTCTTTAGGTCCTGACAGAAATTAAAAACTCATGAAAAAAGAATGAAGAAAATCTGTAGAAGTTTGTAAGCCTGTAAAAACTTCAACCAATGTCTGCCACGAGGCACCAATCTGATGAACCAATCAGACGCCTCCCTGTCTCCCTGCTCGTTCTCTACCCCATGCGTGCACGAGTCCACACTCAAAGCATGAGCTGAGGTCCGCTTCTGGACCAATCGGCGCTTGTGCATGTATGTGAGGGGGCGTGGCTTTAGAGGGAGCACAGAGGCGAGGAGGCGGGTGCAGACGGAGCACTGAGGGAATGCTACTTTCAAAATCATACAGTAACATGATGGAAAAATGAAACCTCTAAAACTGTAATGAAGCTCATTAAAGATGAGAAATGTTAAGGCATCAGACTAACGGTGATTATTGAGCCTCTTGCTCCACATCTGCCTCCTCTTGTTAGCTTTTTTTAATTATTATTATTTCGACAGTTGTGGATTCTCTACCCACTCCTTTCTCCTTACATCTCTTCTTTTATCAATCACTGCCTCCGACTCCTTCACGCAATTCACCATCCGTCTTATAAAAGACAGACAAAAAAAAGAGGGGAATAAATGGACAGAAGGAGAGCGAGGAGTGCGAGGAGAGCGAGTGTTTGTGTTCACTCGTGAGAGAGGAAATCGAACCGTTGGAGAGAGGGAGAACAGCTTCAGTGTTCGACAAAGAAGAAGAAAGCATCATTGTGCCTCTCTAATCCTGCTCCTGTTTCCCCAATCCAAGCTCAGGAGGTGAAGAGTGTGACCTTCTACTTTCCCAGCATGCAACAGTGCACTCCAGCTGATACAGAACCATGTATCCCGTGTCGTCTGTGGAGGGCTGGGAGAACAGGGGGAAGCAGAGTGGACTATGTTTCTTATAACACATGCAGTTTAGAGCTGTTTATGGCAGCAGGCAGCAAAGTTTGATCTTTCAAACGGCCCCTGATGACTTAAACACATTTGTGGGTTTTTGCATGGAAGGTTTCTGATAAGCTTTTACTGGATGTAAAACTGTGCTAAGTCGTCACTGGGGACCAACGTGGAGCTTTAGTGCTCAGCATTTAGTATTTAAAAGCTCTTTCAGGTTAAGGACTACTTTGAGCAGACCCCCATGTGTCCACTCAGGCGTCCTTTCCTTAAATTCCCAGAATTGAAACAGACTGCTTCTACGTCTGTCAGTCCGACTCCCACAAAGGGAGGGCGAAGAGTTAAAAATACTGCACAGACTTACTTAGAAAAGAACAGCAACTCAAAATGGCCTGAAATGTACTTGTGAAGGACTAACATTTATTTGCCAAGTGCAAAGACTTTGCTGCTGGATATGACGTCCCACTGAGGGAGCTGCAGCATTAAGCACTTGAGCCTTTAAATGCTTTGTGCCTGCCTCAGCCATTAAGGAGAGCTGCCCGCTGCATTGCTAATGAGGCCTGAGAAAATATATATGAAAGCAGCGCCTACTGGGAGTTAATGTTTCTGGTAATGAGAAGGGAAGATATTTGTTCAGCCAGCATCTCTGCAAACAATTTCAGTCTCCAAGCAACAAAGCGGAGCGGAGCCGTGTGCTCGGGGCGAGAACAAGACGGCCTGTTGTTTTTGTAAAGGCGTCTTCGCTGTAGATGACGGCGGACGCTGAGGACGGCTTCATCACCGAGCGCCGCAGGAGGTACATCATGTATGAGCACATGCCAATGAGCTGTGCAGCCACACATTCACAGAAAGGTGATGAAAGACCATCATATCTAATATCAGTGTATGATGAGTTGAACTGCATCCTTTTATTCACCACAGTCCGGATATCAGAAGATTACATTTCCCTTGCGTTCTTTAGAGAAAATAATAACGACTTTAAATGAACGGCTCTATGACGAGTGCACAGGTGGTGTGGCATTTAAAACACAGCGAAACAGTTTATGTAAAAACATCATCTATCTGTAGTTTAAAATGCCTCACCAGCCTGTGCATCTTATCGTAGGATGATGTTGTCTGCATTGCAACCAATTAATATTCTACAATTCTACAATTCACTTAGCAGACGCTTTTCTCCAAAGCGGCGTACATCAGAGAGTAAGAACAACACAAGCAAGGATCTAGAAAAAAGGGAACAATGTGAGTAAGAGCAAACGATCAGCTTTGAGTCTGATTGGACACACAGGTGCTGACAGGAAGTGACCAGAGGCAAAGCACAACATTGAGGGCAGTTCTTGAGAGCTCTAATCAGTATAGAAACCATCTTATAAGTCGTCATTATCAAACAAAAACCATCGTCATTACCATCATCATCATCATCAATAATATGGAGACCATCATCATTAAGTTAGTAGGTATTCATGAAAGAGCTGGCTCTTTAGCTTTTTCTTAAAGGTGCAGAGGGACTCTGCAGATCACATGGAGTTTGGAAGTTCATTCCATCATAATATTTGAAGACTTGTTTCTCTTATCTAATAATATTTATCTAAAATATCTAAATATTTGTCAGAAACAACGCTGTACAGAAAGGCGGACACCCTTCTTCACATACAGTAAGTCATGGAGCCGTGATGAGACTCTCTGACAGCTACAGTCTCTCCCACATGACGAAGAGGAAAGAGCTGTTTTCAAAAACTCAAAAAGTCGTCAGCAGAGTGATGTTAAAAGAAGCTTCTTAGCCTCAATAGTCACAGGTTTGAACTAAAACAAAACATCATGAAATATTAAAGCTGCAGACACAATCATATTCAAGCTGTTCACTGTGTCAGCTCTCACTTGTTGATAATACTTTAGATGTCTGTCTGTTTGTTGCTGAAGTGCAGATCCTAACTGTAGGTGGTTTGGCAGCTTGTTGGGTGAAGCTCTTCTAACGGCTTCAATCTTCCCTTCAGAGTCTGACTGCTGAGGCTCTGCTTTGTTCAACATTTCATCTGGAAGCCTTCAGTCTATACCACGTACAGCAGCCCGGCTGGAGGCTGAGGAAGAATCGCTGATGTATCTTTTAAGACATTTGACTGCATCAAATTGAAGACATCTCTTGGACTTGAAAGAGAAACACAAAAAGGTTTACTGAGAGACTAATTAGTAAGTCAACACGTCTGTCAGGAGCTCATCTCATGAAGGTTTTATGATTAATCTGCACTGAAGAAAAGGGCTGATATGAGATGGAGAATAAGAGGAAAAAAGAGAGATAGGAGATGAAAGAGCGAGAAAGTTGGCAGAGAACGAAGAACAAGGTGTGACAGAGATGCAGAAGAAGAGAGAAATGTCCATCAACAGGGCTGGAAAAGGAACTAATGATGATGACATGTCAAAGCAGGGAGGATCTATCGCTACTCGCTGCTAAAGCGGGATCACATATATACACAGCTCTGATGTCTTTTAAAGAACTACATCAAACAGTGATCTCATCCAAGTGGAGCCAGAACATCTGAGGACCGAGCAGAAGCAGTCACACACACACACACACACAGAGAGAGAGAGAGAGAGAGAGATGCTTTCCCGTGGTGTTTTCAAACTCTGCTGTTATATAAGTGAACATTTAGACTTGGACGACTTCATATTCTGGACCCCTTTTTTCCCCGCTGAGCCTGAGCGGCACGGAGACATTCAGGACGCAGAGGACACTTAACAGAAAAACATCACACTCTGTGCTCACAGGAGGAACCTTAAAAAAAGCCTCCGCTCTCCAAAAACGCTACTCGATTATTGATGAGTGCACACAAATGAAGAGTAAGACATTCAGGATGAACAAAAGCTAAGGTCACTTTTTTTCTCTTTGTGTCAGTTTATGCATTTTTCTCTCCCAATGCTCCAGTTTCAGTTTTCATTCAAATCTTTGGAAAACTCTGTGACTTCTTTTGTCACACTCAGCACAAAATAAAAACACGACTACATTCACACCAAAGCAACAGCTCCATTGACAGATACAACTACACAGACCAACACACAGTGTGCACAAATGCGTAATCAGAGACACAGTGTGCGTCTTCACACTGACAGCCCTTTCCTCTGTTTCCTCCCGAAGCCTCGTCAGATGCAGTGCGTGCAAAATGCCGCTCCTGTTTGTCACGGTGGCTCAGTCAGCGTTATTAGTGAACAGGCAGATAATACAGCAAGCTGTGAGGCTAAAAGCAGGAAGTGGAAAGAGGTGAAGAGGATGTTTGTGAATGTGAGTATGTGTAAGAAGTTCTGAGAGTTGTAGGCGAGGACGTGCAAACTAATGAAGGTGTCTAAATGTGTTGCACAAACGGGCATCGCTTTGCATTCTGGTTAGTGAGAAAATGACAGACATGAGACGAGCGAGAAGGAGTGAAGGAAAGAGGACGGTGGAAATCAATGCAGTAAAATATTGATTGTGTCCTGGTGTGAAAGAAAAAGGAAGGCATGAAGAGAACAGCTTGCTTTTAGCACCTTTTTGTTTCAGGCATCTTCACTGAGAATGCTTTAACAGAGATGATAATATTCATACGTTTATCTGCAGAGACCAGAGACACACTTTATCATATACAACAGAAATCTTTTCATCTTGTTTTAACAGGCCTGTAAAGCTAGAAGCTCAAGGTCATACTTCACATTCAGGTTAGCATGCTAAAATGTTTACAGCGTTTGCATGGACCATGCTTCTGTATCGACAGTTCTGATACTCCATTAAAAGCCAGTATTTAAACATAAAGGCATGATGATCCTGTGGACCCTCAAAGAGGTCCAGCTCTCAGCAGGGCTCAAAAATGTTCTCCCCGTTAACGGTATAATCTTTCTATAAAGTGCACATTAAATCAAGTGTGCCTTCAGGTCTCAAGCCATGCGATGTAATATTTAAATATATTTCACATGATTTGTTCTTCTTATGTGCTGCTGTACTTCCAGCTTACAAAGGTTTAGATTTATGTTTTAAATCAGCCTCAGACAGTTTTCTATTATTTATATCTTTAAATCAAGATAGATCCGGATCAAATGTTCACTTCTTTGTTGGATAAAATCTACTCCATTTTAAATGGTTACATTATAGCAAAATTATCATTCAGATCCAGGGGGGGCGCCGGTTACCTATTGGTTAGTACAAAGGCTGGAGTCCTCCAAGTGGGCTGCCTGGGTTTGAATCCGACCTGTGGCTCCTTTCCAACATGTCATTCCCTACTCTCTCTCTCTCTCCCTGATTTCTGACGCTATCCACTGTCCAATCTCTAAATAAAGCCCAAAAATAAACTTTTAAAGACACTTCAGATCCAGATTTCTCAGACAGTTTCCCCTCTGTACCAGATGTCTGTCATCATAAGACACCTGCAGATTTGAAAAGTCCTTCATCTTGAATTCCAGAGGGGTTATAGTAAACACTGGCTCCATTAAGGTAGCATACTTTTTTCAGAATAGTAACTATTCTGCGTATTGCAGATGAAAAGATGATCATGCGTCATGTTCCTTCTTGCGCTCCTGTTGAGTAATTCATTAAATGACCAGAAACAGTCAGCACAAAGGTAAAGACATCTGCAGCAGTCCCCTGAACACAACGGCCTGTAAATAAAACTGAAGGTGTACCGGGTGTAATGAGTTAGGGTGCTTACATTATCTGTGAAAACATACCCAGCTCTTAGTTAATGTGTATGTGAGACTGAGTGTGAGTGTGTTTAGTCTCTGTGTGTGTATGAGTGTGTGTATGATGGAGCGGTGTGGGTGCCAAGCTGGCTGTCTTAAATTTTAACTCGGTCAGAAGGAGCCAACACAGTAATTAATCATCATTCATTAATTATTGAGGGACAGTTGGCTGAGCACAGCCCACCGCTGACTGATCCTTTGAGGGGCGGGAGAAACAGAAGAAACCACTTTGATGGGATTCCTACTTTGAATAGAAGGCAGACAGGAGACTACCGTTAAGGCCGGTTTCAGAACCAGATACTTGTACTGAGTTTCTGAAAGAAAATGTAGATAAAGGGTGTGTGTGTGTTTGTGTGTGTGTGTGTGTGTGTGTGTTTATTTGTGTATGTGTGTCTTAAAGACCTTGTGCAGAATAAGAGATGCATGGAGGATCAGCAGGTACACATTATTCTTTATTATGTATGATGGGGTGTTAATGAAGTGTCATCTTTCTGGGTCCAGTGATAAAGCTCATTAATTCGATTTCTTACATGCAAACACACCAGTAGCCATCAGGCTGTATCTTTAAGAGACCCAGGATGTTGTTACGCCACATAAACGTAAAAATAAAAAAGTAAAGTCAGTCTACAGAGTGATTAATCTGTGTCCCTTACCCTACTTCATTAAAAAAAGGAGAATCAACCATAGATGTTGGCAGGAAATGGTTGATTAATTCTTCATTATTTCAGTCTTCTACTTTTTGTGCTGCTGTTTTAATGTGAGGCGCCAAAGAGTAATGCTAATTTAATAAACTCACGCTGGATGCCAAGAAGCACTTCTGCTCCGAGGACACCACGATGAATGTTCAGGTTTGATATTTATCTCATGTCCCGCCCGGTAGAGCCGTGATTGACCGTCTCGTTCCTTACCTTTGTGTGTGCGATGAGCAAACAGTTGGAGTGCTCGTGTTCGCAGGCGATCTCATACTGAGGCAACATGTCGGCCAGCTGCTGGACGAAGGCGACCACTTCCTGATGCCAGGGGACGTTAGCCATGGTCAGAGTGCTGGCAGAGCTTTCTCCACAGTACGTCACTCCCTGCACAAAAATAGGAATGCGATCAGGAACAAGGGAGGAAAACAAACAGGCTTTACACGTTCAGGCCCTCAGCTGAAAGTGTCACATCGCTTTAACATGAAAGATACAATTAAGAGAAAACATCCTATAAATCCTATATGCATACAAATTATAAAAACATTCAAGTAATAAAAGAAAAGGCTTGATATCACATATGATCTCTAGACACCATCTGATCCCAGGCTGTGACTGAAAGTAATAAATTGTGTACTTTTCACAGCGAACCATTTAAAACTCTCTGAAATCTTGAGAGCTGTCAAATGATGGAGTGTCCTGTTGTTTTTTATTTATGGGAATGCAGAGCCTGGATATCAAGACAATTGTTTTTCTGACAAATGGGATGTTGATATAAATCCCAGACTGCCTTACAAATTCATCCACAAGTTATATCTCCTCTTTCTTTCCTTTCTTTGAAGAGCATCAGAAAAATGATTCACTTTCAACTCAGCTGCATTTCATCCAGCAGACTTTTGACTCATCTGTTTGGATACTCAGGTTCCTCAATAGAGTGTCAGACAAAATATGAGATGACTTCTTTTTGTCTACTTTTAATGACATCATCATCGGCATGCATCGGTACTAAGAGGGAAACCTCTGCTGATGAAAAATGAAGCCAATGAGCATGTGCAAAAAAACTAATTATTTAGGCTCAAATTCAGTGTTTACTTCTGTGACTAATTATGAAAAGTCTGAAACATGCAGAAATCAGCATCATGGGGGGGAAAGGTTTGACACATGAGAAAAAGAAAATCATGAATTTGTTCATTCAAATCAGAAGCTTTTACTTGACCAAGATGACTAAAACAATTCAACATTTAGCTACCCATACTATAAAAAATGAATGCATGTAGTGCAGAGTGTATTGTTGACAAAAACAATCTTTATAGACTTTGTAGGACTGCTGATTGCGACCAGGAAAACTTTGGAGATTTCCCACCCAGCTGGTCAGAGAAATGAAGCGGGAGGTGAAAAACACTCTGGCCTTGGCCTCGAAAATCAATCAAAACAGCCGGCTGGAAGCTGAGTGTTTTCTGATCAATAGTGGCAAATCTGTGCTGTGGTTTCAAGAGCTGAGGACGGAGGAGCTCAGAGAGGAGAACAACAGCTCCCCATGGCACAGACTAACTATTGATGAGTTTGGGTGAGAGCTGTGAGATGTTGTGTGGCGATGAAAGCAGTGCCTCTTTTCGTCCCCATTGTGTCCAAACTGAAGAGATCTGTAGCTCCACACCGCCAACCTCCAGTACAAGACCAGTTTCAGAAATCTGATCAATGAGCACTGTTTGCAGCAGGGCTTTCACATCACTTCAAGAGGATTTGGACTGCTAGGTTTCAGTTGCTGAATGATTTTAGGAGTTAAAGGTCACATATTATGCAAAATCCACTTCACCATGTTTTTTCTAACACTAAAACGTGTCTCTAGTCTGTCTACAAACCCCCAATCATGAGAAAACTCCATCCTCTCCGTCTTTTGCCTGCTCCACTTTTCAGAAAATGTGTTCTCAAACAGGCCGTTTGGAGATTTTCCCTTCATGACATCACAAAGGGCAGTAGCCCCTCCCCCAGGTGGGTGACACTCCCACAGCTAGGTGTTTGTTCTGCCCTCTGAGTCTGCCTTCTCCCGTAAACAATAGGACAGACACAGATCACTCTGCATTTGGGACTATTAGCTTCACATATAAGACAATTTCTCTTACATATTTAAACAGAATAGTCGTTGCATGTCTACCACACTGAGGAAAAAGTATTTGGACAGCTTTGTCTAACCAGATCAAAACAAAACAAGAGGCTGATCCACACTGGTTTATGTTCCCACCTAATCTGGAGTAAACATTTTGAATTATGTTTTTAATCATGATGAAAAAAGTCCCTTTGGATTCCTAAGAACTACTCAGACTAAAACAAATATCAATGACTTTGAACTTTGTGAAGCTAAACAGTTCCAAACACTCACGACGTGCATGCACAGAGGAGATAAAATACCACACTTTGAGGAGCCAGACATCAAAATCCAACCAATCAGACGCCTGAGGCCAACTTCCTGAATCAAAAAGTAGAATTTATATACCCTACAAAAGAGGCAGTTTGTCTCAAGAAACAGAAGACACACTCCTCATTTGGGGTATGTACTTGTTTTCCCCAGTTGCAAACTCCACCAGAAACACTTTCACGGCTGATCGACCCTGTTACATCGAGGGTGCCATTCACATCTATCCAGCCCGTCCACTCTGCAGCCGCGGGGGATCTCTGCCTGCAGTTGTGAACTGCAGCTATTTCTTCAGTAATTTAACCAGATATGTCTTCTAGAGCTGCTTGTGATTCAGTGCACAAAGAAAACACAAACAGAAAGTATCTTCAGGGCGAGAGAGAGAGAGAGAGAGAGAGAGAGAAGGGGTGTTTTCGGGGGGCAAGGCAGGGCAGGAGGACTGGACAGAATTGATTAAAGACCTTGGTGTTATCAGCCTTGCCTGGAGGCCCGCTGAATAAAGATCAACTATCCAGGACTTGGTATAAATCAGCAGGAACGGGCGAGGCAGGAGCGGGAAGCGATAGGACGAGATGGGGAAAAGATCTTTAAAGATATAAAACTGAGAAAATGAATGACCTGAATCATTGAGGAAGTTATGAGAGAGCAGGAGGGCCGGAGGGTCTCTGCCCTTCACATGCTCTAAAATGATCTGTCATTTTATTTGATGGGAAACATAAATGCTGATTCTCAAGCCACGCCCGACCGTACACAACATACAGCTGTGTGTGTTTGTTCAAATTCATCTGTGTACATCTACGCGTTTACTCTCTCTCTCTCTCTTTCAGTAATCTGTTTCCTTCTTGGACGAGTGAAGGGCCAGTTGGCAGGTAAGTGGAATTGATGCAACTCTGAGATGATAAATCAAACGCTGGACAACCATTGGACAGCAGAGGCACAATGTGTTTAAATCAGACGATGGAGTATTAATGATGGGTCAATAACAAAGATTACACACGCCAAGCGATGCATCATATCTACAGGTCCACACTTCATCTCGATGTAATGCACTCACAATACCCACATGTCGATATCTGCTGTAGTAAGAAGAGGACAAACCTGCAAAACCTCCATGAGCACACTTCAATCATGTCTCCGCATGACGTCTGCAGAAGCTACTGAAGGTCTTCAATGCCTTGTCAGATGCTTTCATTTAGCAACACATCATTATTTTAATTCCTAGCTTTGTGGTCATGCAGTCAGAGCTTGTTTTCATCTGCAGCTGAATTAATCAACATGGACAATAAGACTTAATTACACCAATTTAAAACAACTACACATTTTCTTTCATTATTTCTGCATCATCTGCCAGAGTTTGTTTTAAAAAACGTTTTTAAATATTTGGACTGACTTTGGAGCCATGTATTTGTCTTCTATTGAAAAGATTATATTCCCCCTAAAAGGTCGTTAAAGACCACGGGACGCTTTATTCTGAAATATTCAAATATCCTGAATAATTGATTCTTAAACTCAAACACTGCTGAGATTCATTTTCATAACTGAATCCTTTTGTGAGTGTGTAACACGTCTGATCATGTGAATCATTCTTCTGCATCTTCAGAGTTTCTTCTGTTGTTAAGATCACCATAATAAAATAAAAACTGAGATTACGTTCACATTGAAGACGATCCAGAGACCTGCTGCTCACACAACAGTCGTCCATCAGTCAGCAGTGAAGGCTCATTTCAGAAGTGGTGATTTGATTCTGTCTCCGGTCTGTCCTGGGACACACTGATTACACCGGCTCATGACGCTGCAGTCAATAAGTTCCCTCAAGCTCAGCAGCCAGAAGAGGTTCATCTATTCAGTAAAGGATGTTTTACTCTTCAGAGACCAGAGGAGGAAGACGAGCGGTGGGCAGAGAGACAAGTGAGAGAGACGGAGGAGATCATTTAGGGA